TCCGTGGCCATGCGTTTTTATCACTTTCAAGGGGATACCTCACTTTCAACCCAGACCCGCGATCCAGAACACCCAAACCTCAAGTGAGCGGACCTCGACACCCCTGTTGGCCATTAGATGGCTTTACCTGGTTTCCATACAGTTTATAGTAAGGCCTGTTTAAAGCTTTAGAACCATCTTGATAGAACCAACACACTTCGGCATTTGGTCAGCCTTTAAAAACAACATACGCCTTGGGGGTAACAGTACAGTCTACACACCTTGGTGACCATGTTGGAGAGCCAACAGCCAATAGGTTTTGGTCGCTGTTCAAGTAAGAACTTTGTGCTTTCTGTCATGTCGTTTTGCACGCTTAGGCTGGCACTCGTACCATAGCTATACCATTAGCAACAAGAGACAAAGACAAAGACAAAGACAAAGGTCGCTGCTCAACAAGACCCGTACCCCGAGTGAACATCCCAGTCCCCACGAAAATCGGTTCTAAAATGGGTGGTGAATTCACCTACCCAAATGGGATCCCAAAACGGTTTTGACAACCACAGCCATTTCCCCAAGCGATGCTTTTGAGAGCGGCTCACATCCGCATCCGGAAGCTTTCTGCCGGCAAGGCGTCTAACCGGCAGGCACACAATGTGCACATTGCCGACCCGTTGGGCTTTTTGGCACGCCGAAAGGCGTTCCATTTGCCATCCAGGGTTCCTGAAAGGATACATGCAAAACCCACATGCTACACCAAAGACTGCGCTAGATCAGCTGGTAGAGGTGAGTTTTTGACCGAAAAATGTATCCTTTGGAACCTGCCATAGTTCAACTTCCGCAGGCACCCTAATCAGGTGGCGCTTTGTTGGCTTCTACCTTTGGCTGAGTTGTGGAAGCCGAATGGCAAGGCTGACAGCTTGGGCCTTCATGTTGGTGCCTGATTTAGGGTGCTTCGAGTTGGCACCCTTGAGGAGTGCGTGAGTGCGAGTGTGGGTGCTGGTGTTTGGGCTTATTTTGATGCTAGTGTTTGTTTGTGTTCGTATTTCTGTTGGTGTGCCTCAGTCGGGAACCCCTATTCTAGCTAGCTTCCCTTGCAGTTCCCTTGGCATCCCTTCCAAAACGGGTACCCGCGAAAGACTGTTTCTGTCAGCTGGTTGGGGGTTTCCCTTGAACCTACCACTGAAGGGGGGTGACTTGGATGCTAACAACTCGCGGCGGCAGAAAGAGAGAGAGAGAGAGACACACACACACACACACACACATGTACATGAACATTTTAGTGCCCGAACCCAAGGGGGTGGGGGGGCACACACATTTTAGCGCCCGAGCCAAGAATTGGGGGGCCTCCTTCCCGCAAAGGACTCTGCGGGAGTCTGCGGGAGTCCGTGCAGCAGACTCTTCAGCCGGTGAACGTTGGGCGAGGCGTACTCACGCCCAAGGACGAACCGCAGATACATCTATCTGAAGGCATACATATATATATATATAAAAATGTTTTCATATGTGTACATATATATATATATTTATGGAACCATGTTACGTACATTTGAGTTCATAGCCATTTTCGGGCAATAAGCCAACGAAGCTGGCCACAAACAACTTCTAGACCATCGGTTGTATGATCATGTCGTATTGAGCGAACACAGCGACCCATCCTGCCAACTTCGATCGCTTTCTGGAACAAGAACTGATGGACATCCTCATAAACGGCGCCTCAATCAAAATCCAGACCCGCATGTGATATGAATACATGCATAAACAAGTTGACTATGTGGACACAGATGCGCACGTATATACGCATATCTATGTATATATATATATATATATATGTATGTATGTATATATGTACACATATTTGTATATATGCATGTGTGTACATATATATGTGTACATATATGTAGTCATGTGTATATATATATATATATATTTGTGTGTACATATATATATATATATTTATACATGTATACATACATTTATACACCCGCAGTTGAGGTAGGGAAAGAGTCAAGGTTTGTGCTGCTCAAACCGTAAGTAACATCACTGCTCTTCCACGTTTTCGTTGCAGGGTCCCCTAGGTTTCCCCTTGCAATGTCAGCCCACCAAAACAAACTTCAAGTGGCACAAAAAGGTGACGTTGAAAGGGGAAATAGAGGCCCCGACCCCCGGTCCTGAAACCGTTCGTAAGGGGCTTCAAGGAACAGCTGCACTTTGCCAGCTTCGATCAGAATACTCTTGGGTGCATTTTGGCAAGGGATGTTCGGACTTTAACTTTTTGGCAACTTTTGGGTTTTCCAAACCACTAAAAGTTTAAACTTTTAGCAGGGGAGCAGAAAGCAACCGAGTACTGGTCTCTGCAACATTCCCAGAGCCTCGTGGGAAAAGCATGACAGTGCCCCAGATACGGGCGTGCCGCGCGGCTTACGTTGCACGTTGGGCTTGACAAGAATGTCTTGCCGGACAGTTGGAAGCCACCAGCACATGCCTGCACTGCCAGACAGGCCTGTTGCCAGACCGAAGTCTGACCTTCATAGCTTTCAATTCTGTACCGCCTTTCTGGTTTTCCCCTTTTTATCCCTTTCCACCAGCAAAAGGCTGTCATGTTGCAGGTCGGCATTCTCACCCGGTTTGCCCTACCTGAGAATGACAAATGTATGGTGTTCCCCGTCAAAACGGGGCTTCAGTTTTTTCTTGGGAGTCGTGGAGCTCAAGCTTGTGAAGCAACAAACGGAGCACCCTGAATCAAAGAGGGACACATCGGACACGCCAACGCGCAGATGGTTGGAGCAGACGCTTGCCCGTTGGATTGACCTACTTCTTGGAGAATGACACTGAAATTTGCTGGCTCAGTGGCGCATCACCTGGAGCCGCAGGGCTGTTGTTTTCACCCGCCCGGAATCGTTTGCGAAGCCCGGGCAACTCCTTCCCTCGGGGTTTAGGAAGGTAAGACACGCCCGGAAGGCATTCTGATGCCACACTGGGCATGGACCTGCTTGCCTTCAGAGGGGCCAGGGAATTCGAATTCCTGGAATCTCCTGGGGGAGAAGTTTGGGTTCCATGTGAGCCACAATCAAAACCCGGTTCAATTAAGGTTAGTAAAGGACGGTCCCAGCCACAAGTGAGTTCAATTGCCCTTTTACTTCTTTGCATGTTTCTGGGTAGAATAGTTTAAATACCAGGTTTTGACAATGCCTCATGTGAGCTATACAGGATGACTCCAAAGGCAAAACGGGCGCCGCCTTCGCCTGACTTTAGACCGGCCAACCCCCTCGACGAATCGGCGAATCGGGTGCCTACGTTTTCGGAAAACTGGACAGTGAGCGGATCGGTCTCCGGGTGTCGAGTTGTCCCTCCCTCCGACCGCCCGGTGTGTAGGCCTTGGACATCCGATGATCCGGTTGCAAGGCTCCAAAGAGGATTTTCTGTCCCTTCTGTAAGGGCAAGCTTCTGCAGTCAGGGAACTGGGTCTGAACATTTTGAGGTGTTCTCATATATGTATTATATACACGTACTTGGGGGTGGTTTCTCTTGTGACCACTCTAAGAAGGTAACTTTGTGTTGACGTCACTTTCATGGACCCGGTGCATGATGATACTCTGGCATGTTGCCCAACATGGGCCACATGGGGGTGTTGACGTGGCATCACTCCTTCCTTGTTCTTTTCACAAGTTGACTTTCCTTTGCCCCGCAACGGCCTTGAAATCGCCCCTGCATGGAACTTTTGCCCTTGGGGCAACCCACGGACCAATCCAGATGTCGGTTGAGAAGAGTTACCAGCGGCCATGGTAGTGCTTGTGCGACTGGCACGGAGGAAGCCAACGACCTCACCCGAAGCTTTTGACGGGTGCTTGTTTTTTTTGTGGTAGTTGGGATCTCCTGAGAACAGATTGTTGTGTCGATCTCTCCAACATTGAACAGCGCTCCAGGTCCCTCAGTAGTGCCCTTTTGCTCCTTTTGTTTTTTGGGAGGGTTCTCCTACTAAAATAGACTACAAGAAAAGGGGTACTTTTATTCTATCCTCTCTACTGGAGGACCTAGGGGATGGATATTTATAGCTTTTTCCCAGACCCCTCTACAGAACAACTCAGTTTGTGTTAGGGCTCGATGAACCTTTCGGAAGCTTCCTGAAGTGCCTCTCACTTCCGCCGTTGGACTTCAACCTTCTTGAGGGGATCATGTTTACAAACTTGTAGGTCTGCCTTTTGCAAGAGATATTGCTGGGTGGGTCGTTGTTTGAGGGTTCCCCTTTTTGACTTGGTTTCAAAGGGAGCCAAAGAAAACCACCCGTTTTCAGGGTTCCCCTTATTTGAGACAGCCCCACATGTGGAATTTGTATGACTAATCCGCGGCAGTGAGACCACCCAGGGGCTCAAGGCGTTTTCTGTGCTGCAACCGCCCTGTGGTTTGAGTTATGTAACTGCCAGGCCCACAAAGAGACATTCATTGCCTTGTTGATAGAGCCCACAGTCAACGGGTTTTGGGCTGTGAACGTGTTGGCTCGTGCGGCCTACGACCCTTCACGAGCTCATCCTTGGTGTTGTAGCCGCCAAAATGCGAGGGAGGCCAAGAGGGAAACCAAGAGGAAGCCATTTTGGGGGGTCCCCTACTAGGTCACCCAGTAGGGCCCTTTTGCACTTTCTTTTGGGGGGAGGGTTCCCTTGCTAAAATAGACTACAGAAAAAAGAACCGTTACCAACTTATTCCAACCTCAAACTACTGGAGGACCCAACACCGACACATTCCAAGTTGGAGTTTTCAGCCCTTCGGGGCGATCAAGTTGGAGCCCTTCGGGGTCCCATGGCTCAAGCCGTTCTGGGGCTTTGCTTCGGTTTTTTTCAGCCTCGCGGATTTTTTTTGGCCCTTGATGCTTGGTTTGGTTGGTTTTTCTTTTGCTGCGACCTCGGGGCAAGCAACCAAAAAGTTGGACCAAGTTTTCGTGGCGATCGTTTGTTGTAAGTCACCTCACTCATGGGGGGGTGTCTCTTCCTGTTCCCCACCCCACCGGTCAACCCTGTCGGTCCGAGGTCGGACGGGTGGCCGCGCTGGTGGTTCTTAGGCGCCGCGGGCGCGCTGGCGCCCCCCGACACCGTGGCCGAACGAAGGCCAGCGAAGAAACGGGATTCCCCAAGAGGCTGATGGATGGCCTTCGTGGTCATGTTCCTGTGTTGGTAGATTTCAGCCCGGACCGGGGGTCACCTTTTCAAGTTGGGGTTTTGGTGTCACGCAAGTGGCTCCGGTTTCTGGTGCTGTGGTTATTGACCCAGACGGATCAAAGTTCTGTCCGACCGGGTGCCTATTTCTGACAACCACAGCCATGTGGCTTTGTCTCAAATGGCTCACGAGCGCGTGCTTCCCCCCTGGGAATCAAGAGCCAAGGGAGCCGTGCGGCGATGGGCGTCGAGATCTGATCGGTGGATCAAGATCCCTGCAGGATCTCGGGGTGGTGACTTGAGGATTTGCATCTGAAAAAACGGCTGGCGCTTTTCGTCCAGCCGATGTTCTTTTCGTGGCGCTCGTGGGTGAGCCTGTGAGATGCTTTTCCAGTCCCTATATATTTTGTTGGGGTAAAAAACACCACCTTTTGGGTGTCCAAAGGGGACATATAGAGAACCCTGTTTTTGTCCGAGTCCTGGTGAAGATGCACGGCAAAGATGCGCATTCCGTTGACAAAAAATGATCGGCATGTTAAGATGCATGGGGTTCTGTATACTGGGGTCAACGGCATGGGCAAATGATGCCTCCAATGTTTGATCCCAGAGGGGGTTGGGAGATTGTGTTTCCCCACCAACCCACGCAAAGTTTAAAACTTCTTGCAGGACCAACCGTCTTAGGCCCCTACCAGGAAACACTCCTATTCTTTGCTTGGGTTTGGTTTCCTGCCACATCCACTCAGACGCGCTGCCTTTGATTTGTGGGTCCTTTGCAACTGAGCTGTTGGACAGCGGGTAAAACTTGCTGGTGCTCAACAGAAAAACCAAAAACAATCCCTGGTGGTTTCCTTTTTTCGGGGATGCCCAAACTCATTCCCTCATTCTCTACCTATCCCACCAGCAAGAAAAGTCGCCTTTTTGGGGGCTTGGACACGGAGTCGCCGCGCCAGGCAGTTCGCCTCGCTGCCGAGGCGGGCGGAGCCCGGGGCTTGGCCGCTTGGACCAGCGGGGATTTTGGGCCACTGGACAACCAAAAGTTCATTCTTGGAATGCATCAGAGGATGCAGGACTTGGATCTTTACCTCTGGTAAAGCTTGCTGGTCTCCAGCCATTTGCTCTTTAGCTGTTTCGGTCGGTTTTGCGGCCACCCCGGAAAGGGAAAAACCACAGACCGGGAAGGGAGAAATCGAGCACAAGGAGACTTACAAGGACACCTGGGTGTGGTTTTTGGAGACTAGCACTTGCGTCGGTTTTGAAGGGAAGCCAAGAGCAACACCAACCATATCCAAGGTCCCCGATTTTCACAAGCCCAAATGAAGCACTTGTACGGACATATATATTTGTTTGATTGATGGAGTAGCCGGCCTGAAGAATTCTCACAAAACATCCAAGGCCAGTATGGGCGTGTCTTTTTTGAGGGAGCCCATTTGGGTACCAGGGATAGCCACTTCCAGTATCTTCTAGTTGCACTTTGAGTCGCGCTTTGCCGGCTGCTGTGGCTTGTGTGGATGGATCCAAAGCACTCTTGGATATGTTTGTGTAAAATCGGTGGAAGTCTCTCTCTCTCTCTCGCTCCCTCGCTCTCTATTTTGGAGGGGACAAAGGGGGGGGGAACGGAGGGTTACTCGCGGAGGGAGTTGATCGACTTAGCAGGTAGGTAGGTTTATTTGTACCTAGATCACTTGCTGAGTAGCTGTCTCCTGATTTTGCCTCTAACAACGGGGCGTGGTTGCACCGTCTCAAACCACGGTCTTACTTGGTTTGTCTGGTCAGCCCATGGATCCAGTGTTTGACCAACTTGCTGGTTCTCGAAAATGAACGGAATGAACAAACGGATCCCCTAGAAAATATAATTATCACGGGATGGATCGGGATGGTATGGCATGTATGTGGCGTATGTATGCAATGCAACGTAACGGAACAGAATGTAACGTAATGTAATCCAATCTAAGGTAATGTAATGTAATGTAATCCAATCTAACGTAATGTAATGTAAAGTAATCCAATCTAACGCAATGTAATGTAATGTAATGTGATTTAATGTAATTTAATGTAATGTAACGGAACGGAATGTAATGTAATGTAATGTAACGTAAAGTAATGTAATGTAATGTAACGTAAAGTATTGCAATGTAACGTAAAGTAATGTAATGTAACGTACTGCAACATAACGGAACGGGATGTAATGTAATGTAATGCAATGTAACGTGATGCAATGTAATGTAATGTAATGTAATGTAACGTAATGTAACGTAACGAAATGTAATGTAATGTAATGTAATGTATGAATGTAATGTAATGTAACATAAAGTAATGTAATGTAATGTAATGTAATGTAACGTAACGTAATGTAATGTAATGTAGTGTAACGTAGCGTAACGTAATGTAATGTAATGTAATGTATGAATGTAATGTAATGTAATGTAAGGTAACGTAACGTAACGTAACGTAATGTATTGTAATGTAGTGTAATGTAACGTAACGTAATGTAATGTAATGTAATGTAATGCAATGTAACGAACCGTAACATAATGTAATGCAATGTCTGTAATGTAATGTAAAGTAATGTAATGTAATGTAGCGTAACGTAACGTAATGTAATGTAATGTAATGTAATGTATGAATGTAATGTAATGTAATGTAACGTAACGTAACGTAATGTAATGTAATGTAAGGTAACGTAACGTAACGTAACGTAATGTGGTGTAATGTAATGTAGTGTATGAATGTAATGCAATGTAGTGTACTGTAATGTAATTTAATGTAATGTAATGTAATTTAATGTAATGTAATGTAATGTAGTGTGATGCTCGGGATGGTTCATGGCGTCTGCGATCCCAAAACGACAATCAGAACATATCTTATTTTGAGGCTTATTTTTCTGAGCACCCCAAATGCGGGTCAAGCATAGTGGCGATTGCTTCATTCCCTGATGAGAACCAGCAAGACTATGTGCCCCATCTTTTCTCCAGGCAGTTCTTGCACGCGCGGTCCCCGAGCCGGACCGCCCGCACACCTTCGCCGCACAGGCGCGGTACGGACGGTGGTTTGGCCCAACGCCGTGGTATGGTTGATGAATCGGTTAAGCCCTGGTTGTTGAAAAGGGGAAAGCCAAAAGGTGAAGGTCACCGGATTCGCCAAGCGATTGATGAACAGGGGTGTCCCCTTTAATGATGCTAGGTCCCCCAGCCAGGTGCCCTTTTACCAACTCTTTTGGTTGGGAGGGTTCCCGTAGTAAAATAGACTACAGAAAAAGGGGACCCTTACCTATGAGGGGATCCGGATAAGACTGTGGATGTGGTCGAGTTGAGTCGCTTGTTCGAGGCGATCCAGCCGATTTGTTGCCATCTCTTTGGAGGCCAAAACTGCCTGGTACCCTGCAGGTAACGGGAAGCACATGTCTAACGGCACCTAGGCATGGTCTCCACGATATGGCACTATTTCTGGAGTGGTCTTAAGGGGACACAAAAAGGAACCACTCCTCCGCCCCCCCTCCCCCCTTCCCCTTTCCCCCCTATTCCCCTTTCCCCCCGGACACCAGATCGTGATGGCTTTTCTGAGCTGCAACGCGACATGTTTCAGGGGAACAATCAGTGTGCGTTGCTTATGAAGGTTTGCCAGCGTCACGGGCTAAGATCCTGACATGCGAAAGAGTCAATACGGGTGTGAATTTCAGTTGCGGACACTTACATTGGAGACTGGACACCAATTTTGAGGGGTTGCCTATTGACATTGATAGCCATATTCCGCACTCACTGAACCAGCAGTTTGGCATTGCTCTCAAAATGTCCACGTCTCTTGGCAAACGTTTGTTTCCTCAAGTACCGCAAGTAGGGATCAAGTTGGACATCCACAACGCTCAATTTGCAAGGGCTTAGCTGTTTTTTGGGCAATCCACCATAGCTTTGCTTGTCTCCTGCTGCGCGCGCAACACTTGTCTCTACCTCCAGGCGATTGGCTAAGCCATGTGTCCAATTTTTTTCGGGATGGGTTTGATCGTCGCTTTGCAATCCTGAAGTGCGCTTAGCTAGTGGTCTAGGTCCCTCAGGAGTGCCCTTTTACCAATCCTTTTTTGGGGAGGGTTCCCCTACTAAAATAAACTATAGAGAAAAAGGGTAGCCTGATTCTAACCTCTCTACTGGAGGACCTTGTGGTGATCTTAGGTTGGACATGGCAAGCGATGAGTTTCGAGAAGTTCTCCAAGAGCTCGGGAAAGCCCGCAGGCTCTGAGAGGCAAGCTGAGGCTATCGGCCACTTGGGTGGTTAGTAATCCTGGTAGCCGCCCATTGGCACATGTTGCTGGTCGCCTGAGTGGTTGAAACCTGAGGTGTCTCTGATCACTTCCCCTTCCCCAATCATGCAAGTGGACAAGGGCATGTTTTTTGGAGGATGGTAGTCTTTGCAAACCCGACATGGTCCACTTCCATGATTGTTAGAAAGTGGGCAAGAAGCAACTCAATCGCCCTAGTGGATAAGAAGCAAGCCCAGCTGCACCGTTCATTTGTCGCCTTTGTGAGTTGTAACCCGGTGTTGCTGATCATAAATGGCTCCACCAGAACCCACCTGACTATTTGTCTCGTTTTTTGTTTGAGAGATGCAAGTCACCCAGACGCTTTGCCATACTGGATGGACGAAATCCTGCTCCACCTAAAGAAACCTAAACATGCTTCCCCTGTAACCAACAAACAATGGTTTCAACTATGGTTTCTGAGGTGGTGCAGGACTTGGATGTTGCCACCATCCACAGTATCCCTCGGCTTTTTCCCAGTCACTTTGCTGGATCAACACGGCCTCACCCCCGGCTTCTGAGACGAATCCGCACGCCAGGCGGGGCTCGCCGAGTCCGGCGCCGCTTCCGGAGCCGATCTTGGCCTGGGAAGAGGCAATTTCGGAGGCCGGAGCGTGGGGGTTGGGGTACCCCTTTTTGGGTTGGATGCAACGGGAAGCCAAAAGGAATCAAAGTTTTTGCTTCATTTTTTGGGGAGGGGGGTCCGATTCCGATCTTGAGACAAGTACTTTTTGGGGAGTTCTGGACTTTGTTGTCCTTTTTGGGTTGAATCAGTATCCTTTTGGGGGCTCCGATTCCCCCTTCTTTGAGACAACTACTTTTTGGGGAGAGCTCCTGGACTTTGTCCTGGGCTTGGAGCATTTTGGTGGTACACGCATTGTTTGGTCTTTTGTTGGCCAATCCAATCAGGAAGTGAGAAGGAACCCACTTAGGCTGAACATCCAAGGTCAGCAGGATGAATCTCACGGCCAAACACCCAAGTGTGTCTTTGTCAGGTTGGCCTTTGTTTTGCTGATCTACCTTTTTTTCACGAGGTTTTCCACGCATATGTATATATGCATATTGATTGTATATCACTATATATATATATATACATTATTTACTTCAGGTTTGGAGTTTGATGAAACACCCAATTAGCCCTTGACTGCTCTGGCGGGGAATCGCTCCGAACCAATCTGAAACTCCAAGCAAGTGGAGGATTCACAAACCCGTTCTGAATTTAGGTCATAACCCAGGACGGGTTGGCTCCTGTCCAGGGATCTTCGGAAGTGATATCCCAGATGTTTCGTTCACCATTGGGCAAAGTCTTGGGACCGATTTCAGGTTTGGGTTAGCGATTAATTTCACCAATCAATATTTCTTTCTTTGGGTCACCGTCAAATCTCAAGTTGGTGAATGAGAAAAAGAAGCATGCTAAGCTCACTGGGATGTTTATACGGGTATGTGTCAAACTGGGACCCAACATTTGGTTGTCCTTTCGGTTTCCCTTCAACCCAACCTCCAAAAAAGGGGAGGCTTCGCCTGAAAAGCATACAGAACCTAATCTAGCTGGGGGTTGAAAGGGAGCCGTTAGGGAGTTGGGGCCCGGTATCCAAATTCTAAAGAGGGAGCCTGAAGGGAGCTACCGATCGGAGTTCTGGTTAGGGACATGAGTGACAATCAAACCCGGGTAAGTGGAAGGTAAGGGACAGTCCCAGCCATAAATGGGTGCGTAAAATTGCCTTTTAATTCTTGAAGCATGGTCTTGGGTAGACTATTTTAATACCGGGTTTGATTTCTCACGCAGGTGTAGAGGCACAACTCTGTTTGGGAATTGGAGCCCCTGATGCTAGGTTGTAGGTTTTGATTTGAACCCAAAGAGTTCTTGCAGAGGCCGGAACACCAATTGGAGGGAAGTTGATACATTGTGGATCAAGAATCCCCTGGTTGACTAGTTCGGGTTGCTAGGTCCCCCTTTTACCTTTTTTTAGGGGAGGGTTCCCCTACTAAAATAGATTACAGAAAAAAGGTATCTCTACTGGAAGACCTAGGTTGGGTCCCAACCCATTTAAGGGGGTCCAAAAAGCGCTCACTCACATGGCCCCCCCCCCAAAAAAAAAGAGGAACAAACAACAACAACCTATGCCGAGCGGCTGGCGCTCAGGTTTGTGCCGCGCCTCCGGCGCGGCGAGGTGCTGCCTCGCTCCCCTCGCAGGACCAGGTGGGGTGAGAGGTCGAGAGGTGGCTGCGAGTTCTTGGACTCATTTTTTTTTCCGGGGCTTCCTCAAGAGGTCAACGGCTTAAGGCTACCTCGCAAGCAATGGATGGCCAGGTTGTTGGTTGGGTTCGGCTCGACAGAGTAGAGACTTGGAGGAAGGAAAGTGACCATGTCTGGGTCAAACGGATGCAGTGGTACTGGAAAGACGAGTCTCAGCCAGGCGTTAACAGTCCTTAGGTTTCTCACACTTTCCGTTGCCTTTCTATTCCAGCCTCTCACAACCTTTGGGAAACTGGACATCTCGAAGCACACGAGAACCCCAAAGGTAGGAACATGTGGGTGTGGCTCAAAATTAAACGATCGGAGGGGCACACCGGGTTTTGGTACCCACGTTTCCACCCGATCGGATCGGCAACCCATTTTGGAGAATTCTCCGGTTTCTTGGAATTCGCCACAACCATGTATGAATGAGCAAGGATTTTCACTCATAGATCCTGGAAACCTGAGAGTTCTTGCAAGGCTTGAGGGACAGGAAAGCCTGAGCTGCGGCCGGCTGTGGTGGTCATTTGACCGTTCTGGGATCCCATTTTGGGTGGATTGGGTGAATTCACCACCCGTTTTAGAACCGATTTTAGTGGTTGAGTCGGATGTTCGCTGAGGGTAGGAAAAGTGATGATTGTGATCATCTTCTTCCTGCACCTCCCTCTGTTTCCTGATAGACTGGGAGGGGGTAAAGAAGACGGAAAGAGAGATGCCTTGTTGCAGCCACCCCTCGTCCAAACCGGTGGGGTGGTAGGGGATAGATAATAAAGAGAAACGAGTGAGAGACATCTAGACACCAAAGGTCGAATTCAGATGAAGCGAACAGATGGAGAGACGATGCAGAGGATGACCATTACTTTTTCATGTCTTATGTTTTCATGCTTTGATCGGTATCTTCTTTCTATAGTTCCTCTCATCATGTTTATGTTGTTTATTGATTACTTAATTATCTGGAATCAATTTTATGTTCCATGACAACAAATGTTGATTTCCGACTAAAGGTGTTTCCACCCTGGATGGGCAAGATCCGCTTGGCACCAGTTGGGATGGATGAAGCCTGGATTTAATACGGGGCTACCAGACCTGCCAACCGGGTTTCTGGCGGCGTGTTTCTTCCAGGCCCCCTTTGGCTGTAGGAGCTGGGAAAGCGACCCTTGTTTGAAGCAGGGAATGTGTGTGAACTCGAACCAAACACCATCCAGCTGGGGTTTCCTACGGTTTCAGAAGGCTCATTCCCTATACCCGTTGTTTTCTATAGAGAATGAGTAAGGAATGTCGGGGGTTTCTCTCAAAATGTTAACCCTTTGTTTTGGTCGTCGAAGCGGCAGGTTTTGGCATAGACGACCCCCCCCCTCCAAAGACAAAACGCAAGGTTACCCTCCCGCCAATTCCTATGGAACGCACGTTCGGGACCCGGTCCCTTTAAAAGGAAAGTTGTCCAGTGGGTGGCTTCTTGGGGCTCCACCTCATGTTGAATGGTTTCCGGTATCTTGGAGCGCTGTGCCGGGTGGCGCTTTCTCAGATAGCCCTGGAAGTCAGGTTCCTTGTCCAGGTCCAGCTTGGCGCCCTTGCTCATCTCTTTGGGAGGGTTCCCCTGCAAAAGTAGCCACGGAAAAAAGAAACGGGTATCCTTCGAAGCTCTCTACTGGAGGACCTGGTCTATTACACCCACAAGTGAGTCACTTTTAGCAGGGGATCAGAAAACGGACCGGCCAGTTGTTTGGGTCACGACCCAAGGGCCGAAGATCCGGCCGATGTTTGCTGCCGGGAGGGTATGCGACCCTAGCGAAGTTCCCTGCGTGAACTTCTCGCCCCCGCCCAGGGCATGGCGCTCGCGGTGCAGCGCATCCGCGTGCTCAGGGAGTTGCCCCAAGGCGTTCGAAAGGGCCACGGATTTTTGTGGGCGGCGGGTATGTGTTTCCCCCCTTTGGGCTGGGTTTAAAGGGAAGCCAAACATTTGCTGGTGTAGAATTTGGTTTCGGAGGGTGGGAACCCTGTGGGGCCCACTTGGGTATTTCAGCAAGCAGGGTCCTTACCTACAAGCAAACTCTCCCTCATTTCAAATCCCGACCAACATAATTTATCAATCCACTTACCAAAACCCATATAAAAAATCATAACATGTTTCAAGTTATTCATTTTTCAAGAATAACTTAAACCATTTCAATTATCCTCAACCTCCTTCTTTTTTACATTATCAATATGCTTCTTTGTTTTTTCATGCCTCTCCTTGTGTTTCAATCTAACTTCGCAATCACAAACAGAGCACACAAATATTTTCATGCCATAGTCTTTATTTATTTCGCTTATCTCCTCTTTATGATTATCTCTCCATGTCTGTGAGTAGATTTTCACTTTTTCTCTACACAAATCACAAGTTTTATGATTTTCTGAAAATAACTCAATCTTTCTATGAACTTTACAATGCGAACAGTATTGTTTTTCTCCTTCTTCTATTTCTTTCTGTTGCTTCGCCTCTGCTTTTTTCAATTTCTTTATTTCTGACTTTTTCTTTTTCAATTCACGACACCTCTGACAAGTTTTACAACTTCCTGAAAATAAATCACTTGCCTTATAACATCCACAACACGAGCAATATTTCCTTTCCATAATCTTCTACTATAATAAGCAATCTATCCCTTTAAATAGTTTTAGACACAAATAATATTTTTGCTCTGGGGCAAGACCCTCATAGAAAAAAAAACCACCAAACAACAAACCAAACAAAAAACCAAACAACCGACCATACAATAGACAATTACAAAAACCCTAACAAGAAACGGACAAATAAAATACAAAGCAACCTATCAACCATACCAAAACATAAATCTTACAATTTAATTTTATTGTAAGGTTTATGGGGTTATTCTATAATTTAAGTTCAGGATAATAATTTAATTGATGACTACTAAGTTGTATATATATCTTACGTCTTTCATGCATTATTTTTAAAATAATATTAATATCTCTCACTGTATTTTTAATATTAAACTTTTTACTTTCGATATATGTTTTAATGTCTTCTTTTACATCAAAACCTTCCCTACTATGATAAGTCAACATCCATAATATACGTTCAATCATTTTATATTTTTTCTTACTGATTTTTAGAAATATTCTAACATAACTATAAGGTGGTCTTCCATACACGGTTAAACATATTAAAATTTCATCTTCTACGTTTCTTTTATCTATTTTTTTAATCTCCAAAATATTTTCTATTATATTTTGATATCGTCGCCATCTTCTACAAGTTCTACATACATCTTCTTCGTCCAATGCATAATCAATTATATTATTGACTATTCCATTAGGTAAATTCAATTTGTATAATTCCATATTCTCTTTTTTGAAATGGCAACAGTCATAGCATTTCTTATTGATATAATTATTTACTTCTTGTTCGTTCATTACACTCTACTATATATAGGTATTATTTCTTTAAACTTTTTTAGTCTAAAACTATAATTTCAACATCTCATGCCTCAATAAGGGTTTAGGAAAATCACTAACAGAACAATATTTCTGCCCTAACTTAGTTTCTGTTTTAGCTATTATATGGACTGTCCTTAACCAATGACTGGTTCTCTCTTTCTCGCTAATCGCTTTCTTTCTCATTATCTTGACTTTGTCCCCTACATCTAAATCAGGATACACACGGGTTTTTCTGGCATTCATTGATATATTCAGTTTCACCTCAAACTCATTTTTCTTTTTCCTTGCTTCTAATGGTGTCATTTTCGTAACGGAACTTCCTAATTTATTATTATATGTCAATAATATTTCTAAATTGTAATCTATCCATTGTATATTGTTTTTACCTTTCTTTTCATCAGCATCAACTCTTTTAAAAAGCATATCCTTAAAGGTTCTAATAAATCTTTCTCCAAAAGCAGGGTGGCCTCTCGTGGTGTGTAATTCAATTTGTTCCTCATCAAGATAATCTGTAATGGTAGAACTAAACAAACTGCCTTCTTCGTCGCTGTATATCATTTTGGGTTTTCCGCCCATTTTCTTAATGCCTTCCATAATTCCTGCTAATACATCTGGCGGTTGCTTACTTGCAATAGGTATTACAGTAGCATATTTACTAAATATATCAATTAATATTAATCCAATTCTAAACTTCTGATTTTCCAAATCATTTTTAGAAATAAAAAACAAATCCAGTTGAAATTCCCAAAAGGCATGAGGAGCAACAAAACTATTTTGCCCTCTTGGTTTTCTTTTCTCTTCAATATTATTTTTAAAGAATTCATTTACATGACTCATAGTAATAGTTTTATCTTTCTGTCTGGCATCTTTCAACGTTATTGCTTTACTTCCGTATCCGCTTTTATCATAATAAATATCACTAATTGTTTTTTGTTTATCCATATAATAAATTAAGATTTATTATATTGATAATATTATTTATAATTTAAATTCAGGATGAACATTTCATTGACAAATCTTACTTATTTCATACATCATTTTAAAAATAGTATTAATATCTCTCACTGTATTTTGAACATTAAACTTTTTACTTTCAATACATAATTTGACATTTTCTTTAACATCTTCTCCTTTCTCTTGACTATAACCCAACATCCATAATATATCATAAATCATGTCATATTTTTTCTTACTGATTTTACGAAACTGTTTAACATAATCGTAAGGTGGTATTTTATTTACAGTTAGAAATATTAAAATCTCATCTTCTACATTTCTATTATGTCTCCCTTTTATTCTCAACAGACATTTGATTAAAAATTGATTCTCTCTCCATTCCTGACAAATTTTACATTCATCTTCTTTACCCAAAGCATAATCAATAATATTATTAACTATTCCATTAGGTAAATTCATTTTGTATAATTCCATATGTTGTTTTTTGAAGTGGCAACAGTCATAGCATTTCTTATTGATATAATTATTTACTTCTTGTTCCTTCATTACTCTCTACTATATATAGGTATTATTTCTTTAAACCTTTTTTAGTCTAAAACTAAGATTTTATTATAAAAAATATTAAAATTTTAATGAGCTGAAACATTACAATATACACAGAATGAAGTTGAATTATCAATATGGTGAGCGATTGAATTATCAAGGCGCTGACAAGTAAAATTACTACATAATTTACCTTTCTTCGTTTCAAAGTTAAATGAAGTATTACACTTTTGGCATCTGGCGCGAAACTGTGATAAACACCATTCGGCAGTTATGTATTCTTCTTCATTTATTTCCCGGTGAGCGCGACGGTCTTGTATCTTATAATTTTCTACTTTGTTTTTAAAGTATCTCATTATATATTTTTTTATCCATGTGCTTATCAAACTCTGGATTGAAATAAAATTTAACCTTTCTGAAATCAACACATCTTGTAATCGCCGTCCATAAAAACTCTCTACTTACAAATGGTAAATTCCATTCATGTATTGTCATGCTTTCTTTTACACTTGCTCCCTGTGATGAGTGAGTAGTGGCACAGTATGAATATATAAAGTTAGCATCAACCACAGGTTCAAATAACATAAATTCATCTTCTTCATTTGCTATGTTTTGTAATGTTATTTGTTTTCCTAATTCATCATCTTCTATATTTGTAATCCTGTATCTTAAATTTATATTAACTCTGGGTTGTTTAATCCACTTTCTGGCAATTAAAGTATCGCCCACTACATATTTAGCATTTTTGTTTAATCTCTCTCTGATTTCACTTGCTACATTTCGGCATCTTATATTAGTATAAGCAATGTTATGCTCTGATGCCATTATATCATCAGTGATTTCAAAATATTTGGGTATGATGTCATTTATTGGCAATGTATTTTCCCAAAAGTCAGCATACATATCATTACTTATTGCTCTGTTTCTTTCTCCTTCTTCACTATCTTTTGCACCTACTCTTTTACAAATTGTTAAGAAGATGTTGTATTTAAAGATTGTATCCAAACAATTATCCATGTATGTCGCCGGGTCTTGGCAGTTGGTCATTACTTCCACTCCTTGTAATTGCTTAACATCGCCCGTAGCAACTACGATTTTATCCGGATTATTCTGAATAAATAACCTTACTTTATTCAACACATATACATTTGACATATATATTTCGTCAAACACTATTACATCAAAAGGCGAATAATCATAAATTGGTAATTTCTCTCCGACATCTTCATGAACGGCAATGCTAAAAAAATTGTTATATGTTGTTGCTTCTACTTCTTTCTCTTGTAAAAGTCTATTTGTTGGAACAACGAACAGAACATTATAATTCATTGTTTGGACATATTCGCCTATATAACTCTTACCTGTGCCCGGCACTTTCCCTTTCACAAGGCATGGATTTTGTTTAATAACTTTTTTACAAATGCTTTCAGTATTCCATTCATCTTCAATAGAAATATTAATATTCTTAATCTTCGGTATTTCAGGTAATTCATTAAACTTATACTTATATGGTTGTGTCGGTAATGTTATAGTGTGCTTCTCTTCAAGTCTCCAATCTCCTATCTCATCGCCAAATATAAGCAGTCCTTCCTGCCATTTTCTTAAATAAGTATATCCATAAACTTTATCCAAATCATCTTCGTGGATAGTCATGCTATCTGTTTTAGCACTATATACTTTAATATTATTATCAGTTAATGTTTTATATGTTTCATACATTTTGAAATTATGGTATTGTAGCAAAAGCTCTTTGATGTATGTAAAACCGTTGCTCAATACTTTTTTTTATCTGAAACATTCAATACATAATATGTCATGCCTTCTGTATCCTTTACTCTCATTTCATCATCTTCTAATTCTTCTAATTCTGTTTGGTACTGACCGATTGTATAGATTTTAAAGTTTGGATTCAACTTTTGATAATAACACGCCTCCCTCA